TATCTGCACAGTATCGTCTATTCTAGACGATCCGGTACATAGTAAATTTGCTGGTTGGTCCTTTTTATAGACTTCTATATATATATATTTCAATAAGCACAAACATTTGTAAGACCAATCAATCTCTTAATGCATGATACAAAATATCAAATAGGATTGATATAAACATTAACGTGACCTTTCGAGTAGACCCTGTCGAGCCGAATGATTTAACCACCATATCACACAAAACACTTAATCCTAAAACGCCATCTATGGGCAGACAATTCAGAAGAAAATAATTTCATTCTAATTCATAAACTCAACTGAGTGAAATTATATTTCTTCTTCCGTTAACACCCATATATCACAACCACAGATAATACTCATTCTTATAAATAACAAAAAAGAGTAAAGTGCAATACCACACGACAGAGGCGAGGGCCGAAAACACAAAGAACGGGAAAAATTTTTGGTGTTCTATATCATGCAATAAAAGTCTGTAATTAATGCGACAAAAACTATAAACCTAAGTTGTTTGACACGTTAAGCAGATCATCTAAGGAATCCTTCACGTAACCATTTTTGGCCGTTTCGGAACGCCATCTACCGTGTCTCTTAAAAAGACGATCTGGTAAACCTAAATTAGCACAAGCACTAGTTCCTCCAGACCTTAAACTGTGCAACCCATATCGCTTAATGTCATGAACAAATGGTTTGAAAACTTCAATAAAGAGCTCGCGCTTCCTAGAGTATGATAATGGTGCATTCTCTTTACGTTAAACATAAACATCTTTACATTTGGTCAAATTACGAAAAATATACTCAACAGAATCGCCAGAATTATCAGCCCACTGCAAATATAATTCCATATTTTTTACTGGACGCTTATTCGTAATTTGTACGAGCAATTAGTACTGAATTGCCATCTCTGTATACGTCTGTTTTGCTTTGTTGAATGAAAATTGACATATAACATTCTAAAATAACTATATCACTTCTTCGAATATTAAGCAACTCGGAAACTCTTAAAAAACCTGCAAAAGCAGTGATACACTCACAAATATTCCGCTGATTATACAAATTGCCAAAAGAAAACATAGCATCATACATTTTATGCAGCAATTTTACCGAAATAGGTTCCTTTTTATTCGTAGGAGTAGCCAAGCTACGCTTCGCACCTTCTAGAACGTTAATTACTAAAGACGAATCTGTTGGTGAACATGGTGCGCCAATAAAAGAATGTATCCACTTTAAAGAGTAAAATGATGGAACAACTGGACTAACAGTATTGCTCGACTGTGTCAAGGCAGCTAAATATATAGCAACGTAAAAAGCTTTTGCTGGTAGAATATCACCATTTTCAATTCCGTTTGATGCAGCCTAATTTTTCCATCGTAAAAAACTTTGATAATATCCTTTTGTAGTAGAAACTGCTCGAGATTCCGAAAGTAATCATGGAAGTAAATTCACTTTGCTTACTAGCGAAACAGGTAGATTCTGCAATTCTTCGGCAAAACCCTGCAAAAATATATTTGTTATTGAAAGGAGACATTAATAATGCAAACTATATAAAATTATAACAATCAGCTAAATACCATGCATCTAATTGTCACTGTAACATCCGCAAAATTCATATCAGAATCTCACTGAGATTCAAATACTTGTAACGCTAAAAATCTATAACAAAAGATCAAGAGAGATCTATAATACATACTTACATCAAAGTGATCTAACTGGATGAAAAATCCATCCTTAATGCTAACATGCGAAAAGTCAAATCAACATTGCCAAATATGGCCTTCCCACTCTTACCAGCTATATAAGCATTTTTGTAAGTAGGAAGATCTATAAAATTTGTCACCTCAGAAATGAAACCATCACAATAAGGACAAAGCATTGGCCAATAACTGGCAGAGGGTCAGTAAGGTAAAATTAAAGTACCAACAGCTTTACACTGCCGCATATACATTAATACGCGTGGGATAAAAAAAACAGGTGGAACGAACAACCCGTTGATCCCTCGCCAGTCAACCGAGAAATCGTCAACACCTGATGAATTCACATTTCAAAATCTGGAATAAAATAATATCAATTTAAAATTGTCATCAGAAGCAAACCAATCAACCTCATTAAGTCCCCAAAGAGATTCAACTATCTGAAATACAAATTCAGAAATAGACCAATCATCTGAATCAACAATCCGACTAAGATAATCTGCTCTCTCATTCTCAGCACGTGGAACCCAAACCATGTCAATATTAACATTGTGCTTAATACATGTGCTAAAAATGTCTAAAGCTAACTTTTGCAATACTGATTTTGTGCTCCCTTTACTTACAATATTAACAACATTTTGGTTGTCGGTAAACCATCTTGTATACTTGCCAGCTAAAAAGTTTATCAACGACAAAAATACATTTTTCACTGCAGTTAACTCCTTCTATGTGAAACTTGTAGAAACCTCAGATTCTAACCACGTACCGTGAGCAATATCATATGGGTTTTCCACAATATAACCACCGTATCCCGTATTGCTTGCATCACTATACACAATAGTCTGCCAAGAAACATCAGACTTAAAAGGTTTAACATTGGCTTCATGTAAATTAAACCTCCGAAAATTAATTTGATCAATACTGTCTACAGATGAATGTATTTATCTTACCTCCTATACATTTCTAGGAATATGATTGGTTAAAAGCGTCCGCGTGGAGACCGTGTATATTCCACATTAGGTTAGTAGGGAGGCGGAGCTTATTTCAAACACGGTTAGTAGTGGTGTTACATCCCTTTATAAAAACAAAACGGTACTGAGAAAAATTCTTTAAGGTTTCAACAGACGAAAACATTGATGATGACGATTGAAATAAATTCATAAAACACATTTAAACCTAACAAGTTGTTATTGGTAGCATCTGTTTTTGTATGATCAATGGAAGTAGTTTTTTTAAAGCTAACGGTATTGAAGACTTGCTCATTTTGATAGGTCACTAATCTAAATTACACGTTAAGATAGTCGGTAAGATAAATTTGTTACATAGTCTGCTAGTGACGTTATACGGTATATATGGGGTCAGTAAATTCCATATGGGGATTCGAGCTTCGCTCTCACCCCATATGGAATTTACTGACCCCATATATACCGTATTAGGTCACTAGCACACTATGTAACTAATAATAACTGTTCCATGAATGAACACTATTTATATCAATAGACAAATGTTTTGTCATGAAATATACTATATTGCCTATAACTGGAGACGTAGATATAATCTGTCCTACCAAAGAAGCTACCTTCCTTACAAATACTTTTCCGTTTTTGGCTAAACACAAATGAAATGGTATTCACAATTTTAGAATGTACGTCATACTTAAACATATATGAATTGGTTTTAATGTAATGTGTTGCAATAGGCATATCTTCAAACTTTACACTCTGCTTCCATAAATGTCTGTTAATTTCTCTCAAATCTAATATAAAACGTCTTTTGATGTTTGACTGAACAGAAACAGTTAAAGGATTCACAACAAAGGGAATATCTGACGTCTCTACAATTAAACCTCTAGCTAATAAATCAGTTATGGCCGATCTAACAAAATCTGCATTATTCAAAGCGGATAAATTATTTGACAAACACATCGATATTGGATTTGAATAGAAAGGTAAAATATAACATCTATAATAGTATCTATAATAAATTTAGGCGCACCAATATCTATTCAAATTGAATGTTTCTGTTAAGTCTACCCTTAACAATAATATCAGGTTGACCTAGTTCATATTCAAAATAATCATTGGTAAAATTATAATCAATATAATTATCTATAGGTAAAAGTTCAAGATAATTTAAATACTCATCTTTCAAAAATTCACTGTGGCCTGGTTTGGGTTGCTGGTTTACTACTGTTAACGTGCGGACAGCTGGAACGGTAGTATGTGTAGGACGCACAAGAGTAGCACTGCCCCCTCTGCATCTTTCCAGCGTTGAAACCTTGCTGAAGGGGAATTCCGTTGAACCAAGGGACTGAGGCCCACGAAAAGGCTGCGGAACGAAGTTTGGAGCTTGTCCTAATAGCGACTGGTTGCTGGCCTTAGATTTGGAACTAGTTCCCTTATCCTGCTTAGCCTTCATTTTCTTCTTACGGACAGCTCTATCATCAGTTCGAATAATTTAAGCTTCATCCTCGGAATCACTTGCATTAGGATTGCTGTCATATTGCCTTGCGGTATCCCAACCTCCTTCAGAGGTGTCAGCTATCTTAATAAGTTTGTTGCGATGCTTCATCTTGTCAATGGTAGAGGATAACAAATCACGGGCATAATCCACTTTCCCATTGTCTATGGCCCACAAAGTCTGAACAAGATCCTCGATATTTCCAGTATTGAAGTTGAACTGAATCTTGTTACCTTCATATTTCCATTTATACGTAGCGTCTGTTTTAAGCTTCTTCACCTGGAACTTAATCAACTGGTTAGTACCCTTCAACTCTTCTCTAAGTCCACCAATTTTCTCCGTCACTTTAGCAGCAATAATTGCCTCAATATCTTTACTTTGTTGATTTACAGCAGTTAAAACAGTTCTCAATGAGATATCTGGTTCACCTTCATTTTCCATGATTATATTCAAACGTACTAAATCGACAAACACAGCTAGGTAAATTAACGTGACCTTCCGAGTAGACCCTGTCGAGCCGAATGATTTAACCGCCAAATTACACAAAACACTTAATCCTAAAACGCCATCTATGGGCAGACAATTCAGAAGAAAATAAATTCATTCTAATTCATAAACTCAACCGACTGAAATTATATACACTGTTGATATATAATATTGAATAAAGGTGAAGGTAACGCTAATATATTGTTCATAACTATACGGATTTTGTGTAATTGTTAGTATAGTCGTACTGATAAGGTAAAATTTAGTATATTGCTGTATCGAAAATATCTTGAAATAGTTATTTCAATGTGGCATAATTTGTAATTTGTTCATCTTTTTTTTTATTGTGAAACTTACTACTATTGCAACGAGGATCAAGCCAAGATTCACCAACATCATTTTCAAAGAGTCCAATGCTCATTTCCTTAGATTTTAGATTTCTGTAAATAGAATAAATATGCAGTGCATATTACTCGTACATTGTTATTAAAACTGTTTGTGCTATCATTAATTATGCATAAATATTTAAAAGATGTTCAGGTTTTTGCATTTGAAAAACATATATCAAAACGGGAATATGTAATTTATTTCTTATTTTTTTAAATTTTATTAAATCAGTTGTAATCATTTTTTTCCTTTCCGTTGTGTCAACCAACTGGGGAAGACATTTCAGTAAAAAAAATGATAATGAAGTTTGAGAATACTTATACAATTTGTTTTCCTCCCCTTTATCTTCCATCCATATTAGTTTGATTTAACTAAACAAAACGTAACTATCTGGAATCATTCTTTTAAAACACATAACATTGTCAGTAACATCAACCTTGAACGTTGACATATCGACGCCTCAAACAAAAGGTTTCTTCCCTTCCCGACATATTTCATTTGTAGTAGCATTGCTATTAGGCAAGAGGAACTCTAGTAACTGTCTGGAATATTTTTCAAAACAGAAACTAAACATATGTCTACAGTTAAAGATGTCATAAGAAATGTTTATTGATGTGTATTAAACCAGCGGTATTATTGAGATGTGAATTCGTAAAAAAATTCTAAAGATGTACTCCAAAATGTTTAAAAGGAATCTATGTAATATAACAGTAATATCAAATCTTTCCTTTACAATATTGTATCAATAAAACCGAGCCTTTTTCTACAGAATAAGGGAATTGTATATACAACTTCCTATTTTTGGTCTTAACATATCTTATTTTGTAGAGACCATATTGTTTCTCACAACAAATACACCGACAATGATATCATCAAAATGCTGGACTTTTTTATCGATATCATATTTGTTGGGTTTGGTGTATTGATAATTCGACAGTCAATTTTACAATGGTTATATAATTGTGCATCACTACTGTCCCATTCGCCTTTGAACTCAAATGAAGCAGAATTCGCACAGAACCTTCTAAAAAAGCATCGTGTAGTATGTGTAAATTTCTTTTTCATTGGTGTTAATGATGTCCTGTAATTCAATAACCCCGCTGTCCAATGAATGTTAACATATCATTTATCCCAATGAACTTGATATCAAGGATACTATCAAAATTAGAAGTTCCGCTTCATATAGTGATCTTTTCTTTCTTGCGCAGTTGATAGACTTCAAACTAGAACCTATGACAATTGTGATTAATACAATTTATTATTCCCAATATCCAACTCGTCATTAGTATTATACACTCAGTTCCGTCTTAGGGAGTTAACATATCTCAGTTAATACATTAATATATTAAGCATGTGCACACTATACGAACTTCGTAAACAGGGGTTTGTTCTTTTAATAAAACTGCCCCATCAGAGTTATGAGGAAGAATAACTGACATTGACACTTAATAATCAGGATTTGGATGTGTCAACTCACTATTGACAATGTTTTTGCGGTCTTTCATCTTTAAATACCAGTTAAATCGTCTGATATGTGACTTTACCGACTGGGTGCCATTCCTGATTCCTGATGTGGCGGAATGTGGATTCGCATGGAGGTTGATGCAATGATTCCCAGCATTTTATAAAAGCAAACTTCAGTATAATAGTAAGTCATAGTGACACATTATATCTCTTAGATTGAAATTATTGTGAAATAACACCAGCTAAACCCTACTTAAAATGTGAACTAATTCATAGTTATTTCAAGTAATATATGATTGCTAGGTTAACTTGTTTATGTGTTTCCGTATTACTAACTTACAATTCAACTCAGCTTTGTTTTTTTTTGTGCAATGATTTAGGTTCAAATATGGTTTAACCAATTTTGATCATAAACATGAACTTCAAAACGAAATCAAACGTCGTCTGTTTGCAATATTTTGATAAACACATTCTTGAAATTGTCGCTTAATAACCTAGATAAATAGTGATTTCAATCTTTCATGCAATGGTCAGATAATTGATATATATATTTCTCTTATTCTTACACAATTTATCCTTTTCCTGACCTGTTGATTATTTTCATTGAATCAACGTGTGGTTCGTTAAATCTCAGTTTGTCATTGGTCAAAATTCGATAAGACGTCCAATTTTCTTGGTTTCCTCCGAAAAAAGGCTGCCATGCCTGATGACGTCACATAGAATAAACACGTCCTTTTGCAGATCATTTGAAAGAGAACGATTAAGATTGTCTGCATATAGTCTAAATACCATAAGAGAAATAGATTCCACCACCAAATCTCGTGCAATACGATATTTATCCACTCTCGACAGTTAAATTTTAATTTTTTTTAAATCTCGGCGAGCTTCGCGTTTTCAATTTGAAAATTTAACTGTCTCGAGTAAATAAATATCGTATCACACTTGATGCAGTGTAGAATCTATATCGTATACACCCACTAATAATAATGATTGCTATAAAGAATTTCTGAACTCACAGCTTCTGGAGATATTCCAATTCGTTTTCATATTCTGTTTTCTCTTTCTCCAAAGTTTTAATCTTGTTGCTCTGTTCATTAATTCTATAGAGAAAAATAAACAAAAAGATAACAATATATTGAGAAAAAAGTTACCTTGATTTTAATGATCGACTGAAATGAAAAAACTAAAATTTTTGAGACGTGTATGACGATACCTCTTGTTTAACATATTGAAAATGATGACTCACAAATATACAAAAATGTAATCAATGTTTTTATTTTCTTCATTGCAACCGATAATGTTTAAGACATCCATGCCAAACCCCAGGTAAATCATGGAAATAAAAAAAAAACAATCAACCAATCCAAATATCATATAATTTTAACAAATCAATACATACTTTAGTAATAACTAAACCGGATCATGTGTTGCCTTGAAACTGATGATAACATATTTTTGTCAATAGTGGAACCCTTCGTGTAGAATATTCAGTGATGCTGTATTAGTAACAATAACACACGGAAACTTGTTACTATATATTACACACCTATATCTATCAGTAATCAATATTCGGATAAAAAATTTATAAATTTTGGTGTTCCACAGAGCTCAATACTTGGTCACATGTTGTTTGTTTTGTACATAAATGACGTTCCACTATGTATTTAAAACTGCTAAACAGACTTGTATGCAGATGACACAACTATGCATACATCAGGAAAAAGTATTGATGATATGCAATTAAAGTACAAGATGATCTACAATGTGTTGAAACATGGTGTCATGAAAATAATATGTTCATAAATTCTGATAAAACTAAATGTACGGTTATAGGTATAAGACCAAGGCTGTGTTTCCATCAAACAGAACCGACTCTAACTATTGAGAATAATATTTTTCAAAAATCGTCAATTGAAAAACTTTTAGGTGTTAAAATTTACTCTTATCTGTCATGGACAGGCCATGTTAATTACTTATGTTCATCAATATCATCTCGAATCCATTCAATCCCTAAGATTAAGAAATTTCTAAATATTGATTCTAGAAAATAGTTTTATAATGGTGTTATCTTCCCACTGATAGATTATTGTTGTATCATTTGGAGTGGTTGTGCTAAAAATGAGCTTGTACGAATAATAAAATTGCAGAAAAGGGCTGAAAGACTAATTTTAAAAGCTGATCGACTCTCATCATCATAACCACTGTTTAAACCGCTTAGGTGGATGACAATAGAAAAGAAAAATCTCAATCCATAAATCTGTTTTGATACATAAATGCCTTAAGTATGAAGCCCCTGTATATTTAACTGAAAAATTTAAAGAAATGCCAGAAATAAACCAATATTCTTTGAGGAATATGTCTTACAAACAATTGCAAGCTCCAAAAGCCAAAACAGAGCTGTATAAGAAAGTTTTTATATATTCGGGATCTGTTTTATCATGTTTATTGCATAACTTACCAATATCCCTGAAAAAATCAACTGCAGGTACAAGTGCATTAAAAAAAGATTTAAATAATACATGTTGGATCATTGAGAAGCTGTGTAATTTTATATACATAATAATTTTTCACACACTTACTTAGATTTTAAATATTATTGATGTAATTTAAATGAATCCAATGCTGTATGAATACCCTATTTTTACATGTTTTGAAAATTGTATAGTTCATAACAATTTCTCATTTTTTCTTATGTGTGTGTTTGTTTGATTATTATGTAATTCTTTGTTTTTTATTTTTCAATGTATTTCATGAGGGCCTCAGGCAAGATTAGTTTTGCAACTAACTGTGTAACCCTCTTTAAATAAAGAATTATTATTATCATTATTATTATCTTATTATTATTATTATTAACTGTTATTATCCAAACACTAAAATATTCACCTTAATTTTTCAACTGATAACCTATTGCTAAGTAAGAACAAGCCGTCCAGTATTGTTTAATCATATGCATGAACACTTCATGTACGTATATATTATTGCGGGCTAGATATGTATTATACCACTGTGAACATGATTTTTTTTCGAAGCGATCAAGTGTTCAACTGTCTACACACGTCATTTGTAGGTGAGACGATGTGAAGGTTTAATCACTAGGTTTATATACAGAATGAACATAACTTCAAAAGGAAATAGGAATATACTGATCTGAAACGGTTTTATGTATTTCATTGCTATTTCATCAGTATATAAAAACTTCAACATTGCAAATTTTGTTAGAAAAGTGGAAACTAGTCCGTATGTATCAATATGGTTGTGATTAATTTATAGAAAAAGATATATATCAAAATCAATTATCATGAATGACATAACATGTCTCATATATCTTGGTCAAATGTATTGGTAACATTCTTGGAACAATGTTTCCCGTATGAATTCGGATAGAAGCTAGAACACATGATCTATATCACAGCGATCGTACACGTAAAACTCAACACCTTATTTATCCGTATGTGTATTTTAAGAATGTTAAATACACGGTACATGTGTAGTATGCTTACATATTCAGCAACGTTTTGTGTTCTTCCTTAGCTTTGTGTAGCTGTTCTTGCAGATGATGTTCAATCTTTTTTAATCTGAATTAGATTTGAAAAAAAAGTACTATATATGAATAACATACAGGTTTATCGTAACGAATAAGCTGGTTGTCAACAGAATATTTAATAAGAAATTTGATAATTATAGTTTTACTTTTTATGTCATGTCGAGGCCTTTTACAGCTTACCATATGGTATTGTTTTAACTAATTGTTGATTGCTGTACGGTGACCCGCCTTTGTTTACATCATCATGTCTTTTGGTCTAAATATGTCGCATTGACAAATATTACTGCATATTCTTATCTACATTTTACAAATGGTTCATGTTTACTATTCTTTTTAAAATATAAAAAATATGATGTATTTTAGCTCTCTTTTTGTTAAATACCAATACATTTCATTGTGAGAATACAAACAAGAAAGCATATTTAAAATTATAAATGTTAATTTTTCATTAGTTGTTTTCATATTTGATAGACTGAAATGCTCGTCGGATGATATCAAATCTAAACAAATATAGCGTTACAACAAGTTCATATCAATTATTTGATAAACCAATAAATTAATGGAGTTCGATAAAGGAACGAAATACATGTAAGGACCTTTGTTTTTACTTTAAAACAACAATTAATTTCAATATATGCTATATTTTACAATAAAAAGAGTAGGATTACTTTTGACATTCTTCGAAATAGTCGATTTTTCTAACTTGATTTTCGTTGTTTCTTCTCATTGGCGAACAGCTGAAAAGACAAAACATTGCAGTGATTGATTCCCGTGACAACTGAATTTATTTCCAGCCTCTTCAGTGATTGTAACACTCAACATTTGCTCTCTGAATCAATACGTAATATGTCTGTTGAACTCATGATGTAATATATTGACTACGGGTTTTAATTCATTTAAGTCTGTAAAAATCATTAATATGTTGACATTATTTTTTCTTGTGGGTGTTTTTGAGAAATGACTAAAGATAAATATGGGAAATACTTACCATTAGCAAAATGATGACACAATCAAATCTTTATGTCAACATGTTTTGTAAAATGCACACAAGTATTACAAAAGTTACGCCAATGCCATGTGTGACATTGTTATACATTTGAAACTAGACGGCTGAAATATACATGAAATGATGCATAATCATGAGTATGTTCTTTAAACAAATGATATATAACAGAATACGTTCGTTTGCTGATTGAAATGTTGTTACATGAAAATCATTTCCTCGCTCAGAGTTTAAGAAAATAAATCAAACTGCAGTATTTTCCCTTTGTTCAGATATTAATTAAAATTTCTCATGGTATATTAAAAGTCTATGATGTATGATCAGGTGAATTGTCCTTATAATTTCGGAAACTAAATTTGACCTCACGAAAATTATTCGCTCACCTGGCCCACATAAATGTTAAAAATGATGAGATCAACACATTGTCCGTATACATCAAAACCGTCAGACGACTTCTTATAGGAGTTATTGCCGTGACATGACGAGTTTCACCATTTTTTTCAATTTTTCATATTTTTTTTTTAAACTATGATAAATAGAGATAAACTTAAAACAGCAAAAAAATCAGACAAGATTTATAAATAAGTAAACATTGCTGAAATCGCCCGACAACTCCTTATTTAATTTATTGCCCTTTAATGACGAGTTTCCCCATTATTTGCGTGTTTGTCTAATATCTTAAAAACTATAATAGATAGATAAAAACTTGAATAAGCAAAGATCTTCAGATAAGTCCACACAGCCGAAATCGTCAGTTGACTCCTTCTTGGAGGTAATGCTTTTTAATTACGATTTTTACTCATTTTTAGCGATTTGCCTATTATTTTAAAAACTTTAATATATAGGTAGACACTTTTAACAGCTAAATTGATCAGTAAGATAAGATCTACAAATAAGTTAAATGATCGAAATCCGTATCAAGATGCTTGATTTCTTGATTGACAACATATGTGTTACGTTTGGAGGACGTATTTTTCAACAAACTATCGGCATTTCCATGGGAACCAATTGTGCCCCTCTTCTTTCCGACTTGTTCCTATATTCTTATGAGGCTGGCTTCATACAGGAACTTCTTAGGAAGAAAGAAAAGAAGTTAGCAGAATCCTTTAACTTTACTTTCCGCTATATAGATGATGTTCTCTCACTAAATAATTCAAACAAATTTCGTGACTATGTTGAACGCATCTTTCGCCCCTCGTTTATTGGAGTTATTGCTTTAAAATGAAAATTATTATCATTTTGTATAGATAGATAGATAGACACGTAATAAAACAAAAATAACTAGCAAGAAAAGATCTTCAAAACGGTTAAGTTTTTCGAAAATCATTAGTCTTGATAGCAGTGATTGCCTTAAATGACGACTTTTTGTACCATTTTCTGGATTAGGGACAAAAGCTAAAGAAGATAGAGAGAAACTGTTCAGAGAATAAAGAGAAAAAAATATCAGCAAGATCATCAAAAAGAGATTTTTGTCGTAAATTCTATTCTAGTCCACAATGCTGCAGAGGGTTCAGTATTGAAAATACACATATACAAAGGTGAGCGACACATACCCTTTAGACTCTCTAGTTTGTTCTATAGCTGTTTGGTGATTCATTAATTACACGTCTTTTTATGTCATAACGTTTTTGTTTAATTTGTTTATTTTAAGTTGATTTGCAATATATTTCTAGAAAATTTATATTATGCAGCAACACAATCAACGATTGGGTTTATTAATTTTTTTTTATAAGTTTAAACTACCCTCCCTTGTCACAATGACAGACTTCTGACTGTCATATGAATTCGCTCTGTTGGTGCAAACATTATAAATCAGCTAGGAAATCCGTTTGCAACTCTGTGTTGATCATTAAGACTACCATTTCATCTGTTTGCAGTTTCTATGACTCCACTTGTAAAGTTGTTGGAATGGTTTCTTCACAAATATTTTTTTCTTGTTATTCATTTAACCAAGAACTAGTTTGAACTCAGATATATAACAACATCAGTTCGACTAAAAGTTTTTTCCGTTTACACAAAGTTGTAGTATATAACGAAATTCACAGCAAACAACCAGCGATTACAGTTCATATCATGTTCGTCAATTATTGATTTTGTTCATATGTAGGGATACGTATAACTTTTCTGAAACATATTACAGTATAAAACGTTGATATACCCACTGTTGTAAAGGTTGGAGGTAAAGATCTGAATTATAGGATCACGGCTAGGCGTACTACGATTCTGAAGTGTGTCTTACTTCATCCGGGTTTTAATATGCCTTTCAGGTTGGTATTTTATTTGGTCTTCCATCTGTTTTGATTCGAACGCCAATGATGAGTCTTTTGTAGATGGCATGCGTGTCTGATATCCGAAATTAAATTAATTGATATCTTTGGTCGATTTTATTTTAAGGATATAGCTTTTATGGGAACTTGTAAATCAAGTCAGTCTGATTCAATTGATCAAATAATGTGCACACAATGGAATATAAATACTTTATAAATGCACTAAAATAGTAAATTTTACACAATTTGAAAATTTCATAAGATTTGAGACACATACAAATCTGCGTTATGCGTGTAAGATCAAGAACAAAAACATACAATGATCATGATATGAGAGTTTGGATATGTGTTTCTGTCTAGGCATTATGCTCTTGTAGAACTCAATTCAAATTTCTTTCTTTTTCTGGGATATAAAAAGAGAGTGACTGTGAATGTGAGATCAGATAACGACCCAATACACCATTTCGTGTATCCATTCGTAAGTTATCTGTTCCTAATCTATTTACGAGATTTGAATATCGGTTAACTAATGTCGTCTTAATCTATCCATGTTTCTTTCTCGAAAGTTTGACAAATAGTGATCGACTGTGAAATATATTTTCTCGACTTTGTTAATACGTCTTCTATTTTTTTGTTGGTAAAATATTGGTAAAAATGTCAGCAATTAAATGATCCGATTTAACAAATTTGATTTTGTTTAGTTTGATACCTTTTTGATTAAGTTATACCTGTCAAGTTGATCGTCTACTTCCTTTAATTTGAACTTTCGTTTCAGGTAACCACATTCAGATGCTGCAAGACTCTTTTCTTTATACCTAAGAACACAAATGAATACAGTTTTTATTAGTTTGATCGCTTGGCTTGATCCCTTATTTCTATATAAATGAATACATTTGTAACAAGTGTACTGTTTTTTTTAAAGTAAATATACTTAAATGTCCGTATTAAAAATGGAATGAAGCCTTTCATTAAATTAGAAATATAACAAATAATGAACGCAGACGGGATTATAAATAATTTTAAAGCTCACGATATTAACAAGTAAATTACATACAATATGATAGTATTAAAACATTTAAGGCACATACAAATCTACGGTATTTCATTTTACCTGATATAAGATGACAATGAGAGTACATACTATAGTAGGTTATTTAGTTTAGTCGGTCATTTCGACAATAATTGAAAAGCTTTATTTCATTAGTAACATCAACTCTGTGGCTAACAAATCGACTTGTATATAATATATTTAATATACAAAGACGTGTAAACAATATATTTAAATATTATGCAAAAACAATATGTCTATATTTGTTTTAATAAACAGTTGGAACAAATAATGTATTTACACATATTTAGTCGATATTTCGTGTTATTTTCTTTCCCCCTGAAATCCTTTCAGACAAGGATACACTTCTTGTATGTAATTTCGCATTTCGGAATGTAATAATGGTAGTCGGAAAACTATTAAGTAAGTTTATGATAAGGTTATGAATTGAACACCGTTGTACAATCTATCGTTATTGTTCTTTCAGTTTTGTTTTTTTTTTAAATCAAAACATAAGGCCAGTTTTTTTTTTTTTATTTGTCTTCCTAATGGTAATCTCTCCTATCAATGTTATTCATATTGAAAAAGGTTTCTTTTTCATTGTTTTACCCTAACTGACTGTCTAATTAATGTAGACCGAAATCAACAAATAATTAAGGTCTTTCCTTTTCGTCTGATTATTATTATTCTTTTTCCGCCAAACTTTGACGAAGTTAGCAGCCTTAACTGTAAGACATGTCGTATTAAGGTGTCACAAATACCTATCCGGAACTCACCCTGTGAGTCGTAAAATTTTGTCGGTCCGGAGTTATCTCCCCAAAACATAAAAACCTTGTTATGGGATGAACACCGTAACCGTTAGAGGTAGACAAAAACCTATAAGGGTAGAATTTGTTCAGGACCATACCCTGGTTCTTCGTTACATCGGGATCGAAAAGATTCAACGACTCATTGATTGCGTTATGCCCCCTTAAAGATAAACCGATGTCGGTTGGCAACCAAAACTCAGAAACCGTAAGTCGTAGCGACCTAAGGTCTTTACCACTGATCAATGGTCGTCATCAATTCATGTGACCTTGAAAATGCCTCAAGATCAAATTTTAACGTTGACCTTGACCTTTGATCTTACACCTTGTTATGGGATAATCTCAGAAACCACTATACTTACGGATATCTTGAGTAGTGGAAAATGTTTGGGTCTTTAAGGCGCAACTTTGTTACAGTTTGATCGAAGAGATTCAACTCTGCCGTAAGGGGCATAACTCCCGTTAACGGTTTCAGAAAAGACAAAATGAGTTTTAACTATAAAAACAAAAGGTCCTAAACCCATTGGGTCTGCAGAAATGACATTGAGGACTAATGACCTTGACAATGATCACAAGGTCAAAGGTCAAGGTCATGTCTCAGAGAGCAAATTATGTGTTTATGACCTTATCTAAAGTGTTTCAAGTGTGTTTTAAAGGTTTTTAAAGTTTGACCTTGACCTTTTACCTTACTACTTGTTTCGAGATATCTCTGAAATCCTTATACGTACAGGAATCGTCTATAGTGAAAAAAGTTTGGGTCATCAAGGCGCAACTTTGGTACATTTTGACCGAAAGATTTGACTTTTTCGTAAGAGGCATAACCCCCGTTAACGGTTTCTGAAAAGACAAAATTAGCTTTTAACTCCTTAACCAAAGTTGCTAGATCCATGGTGTCTTTAGCAAGGACATCGGGTACCAATGTGAAAAATGTTTGGGTCATCAAGGCGCAACTTTGGTACATTTTGACCGAAGAGATTTGACTTTTTCGTAAGAGGCATAACCCCCGTTAACGGTTTATGAAAAGACAAGATTAGCTTTAACTCCTTAACCAAAGTTCCTAGATCCATTGTGTCTTTAGCAAGGACATCGGGGACCAATGATCTGGCCAAAGGTCATAAGGTCAAAGATCAAGGTTGTGACCTAGATCACGAATTTCATATTTTTGACCATATTTTAAGGGTTTTATGTGTGTTTAATGCCTTTCAGTGCTATCTAAACTTATATATCACTTTACGAAATAGAAAGAAATATTAACGGCTCACGAGCAATTAACATTTCAGTATACATTTTGCATTATTAAGGGAGATCTAATTGATACTAATTATCCGTTACTGATATATAGGCCTAGAGTGTTTGATTTGATACTGTTAGTCAATAAAATCAAAATAAAGTCAAGGTGACATGTCATGATCATGATCTAAACTTTAACCATTATTACTTATATTCGGAAATGGTAACATTCTATTTATTTTTTTACCATTTATAAATATAGTTATACAAATACATTCTGATATACACTATGTCTTAGCAGCTGAATACAGCAGACTAAGATATCTCTTTTTGGACATTCTGCATTTGTCCTTGAGGGGGAACAAAGGGCATATTTGAATAATTATGAAACTGCCAAATTTACAAATAAAACTATACTCAAATATTTTTCACGCGTAAGTACTCAAGCTTTATGTTTACATATTAGCATATCATTATACGAACCATAGCGATCAATAGATTACTAGTGCAAGCAGCAGAGAAAATGTGTTTATTTTTTATTTTATTGAATTGAGATATTTTTGAAAATATACTTATTTATTCGGCACTAGAGCAATTCTACTTCTCATGATTACAGATATTATTTAATGCTATAGGTGAATTATAGTAAATAACCCTTGTCCCTATGGCACTGTGTAACATCGAGGTTTAAATAAAAATTCCTATGGCCATGTGATAACAGGGGTCATTAACATCGTTCAGGATCGAGAGGTAATGAGCTTTTGAAAAAAAAAAACCAACATATCATTCTTCATAAAAAAGAATAAGAAAGCTTGTTATCAGGTCATTTAACATGGCTTTCATCCTATCGTACCACATTTTGTAAATGGGAGAAATCTGCGGAAAATATTTTTAATTTCTATTTGCATTAATGTCTGAATTTTACATTATCACATTTTGAGAATTAATTAGAAGTTAATAAGAGTTTTATCTAGATATGAATTGCTACTATGGGTGGTAATTGAAGTATCGTAAATAATGCACCTTTACCACGAGACAGATTTTATATATGTGATTTTACAGGGGTCGTTAACATCGTTCAGGATCGAGAGGCTACCAACTTTATAAACATAAAAGAACTAGTAAAACGCAAATTTCAGGAATTAAAATCAAACTTCAAACACCTGCTTAGCGTTTTGTGTTTGTTCAGGCTGATGGTTCAGTCAATACTGTGATGGTGGTACATGTATCACATAAATACTACACGGCGGCAGTTTGTAAGATCAGATTATAAATTCTTCTACATTCAAGGACGTGCACTCTTCAGAGAGTCAAAGAGTAAATAATCTTCTCTATACTACACGGCGGCAGTTTGTAAGATCAGATTATAAATTCTTCTACATTCAAGGCCGTGCACTCTACAGAGAGTCAAAGAGTAAATAATCTTCTCACTGCCACTTTTCATCCTAAGGCCTCTTATGAAAATGTCTAAGCTACCTCAACTACAAAAAAAAAAAACCGTCAAATATCACTGAGACTCTTTCTCAACTTCTTCTGAGTATTTTACTACTTATCTTTCTATGCTGTTAACTAATTCCTTTACTAAAATTAAAGAACTTGTTATTAACTTTTGTATTAAAGCATATGAAAATAGTGGAATTGTAGGGATGTAACAAAACTCTACATGTTTAAGAAACAATACTTGGTGTTGTTGGTTGTTTGATTCGGTTGACAGGTTATGACTTTTCATAAATCCATTCCACGTTTAGATCCAACCTTAGCAAACAAAATTTTTATCACTAAATTAAATGGCCCTTTGAAAAATCTGATTGCAGACTTATTTGCTGCTACTCATTCTTCTGTACTGAAAAAGGTAAATATGCTAGAAACATTTACCTTAATTGTAATGAGACGATAAATTAACGCTGTAGATTTTCTCTTTCACAACACGTATGTACGTTTTGGCAATAATGTTTATCGACAGGATGTAGGTTAATATCTATATGGGCATCATTTGCGCCCCCTCTTTAAAAAACTTGAGACAAGAAAGCCACCCGCTCAAACGAGGGTATGGAGAACATTTTAAACATACTTCTTAAACATACGAAATATAAATCTATTTGTAAAAAATGAGAGAAAAACAGATAACTGATTTGGAGACATGTTTTCAAGCGCAGGCCTTTCTTTTAATCCAATACATTCAATGAACATAGTTTTTGTGAAGTGCAGTTGCATGTAAAAGTAATCTAAACAATTTGAATTACAATTAAATTGATATAAAAAGTAAAATCACAAAAATACTGAACTCCGAGGAAAATTCAAAAAGGAAAGTCCCCTATCAAATGGCAAAATCAAAAGTTCAAACACATCAAACGAATGGATAACAACTGCCATATTCCTGACTTGGTACAGGCATTTTGTTATGAGAAAATGGTGGATTGAACCTGGTTTTAAAGCTAGCTAGACCTCTTGTGTGACAGTCGCATCAAATTCCATTATATTGACAACGATGTGTGAACAAAACAAACAAAAACAATAGGTAAAAATGTCACACATAGGGGTAAATAGTCTAATTCGGTAGGTTACATCCGTGAAAAGGGAACGGGATTGTAGTTACGACATAAGGAACATATCCGATATCATCTGTGAAACGGATATTCCATAACGGTCAACCAACTCGTGATGGCGTCCGTAAAATTTACAAAGTGATGATTTCAACACCATTCGGAACTCTTGGTTTAAAAATGAAAATCCACAATTGGGAAGCTGAAATCATCACTTTTGTCGTAAAGTTATGTTTTCAACCGACCCTCATAGTTAATTTCTAGATAAAAGTCATAATCAAATGGCAAAATCAAAAGCTCAAACACATTCAACGAATGGACAACAACTGTCATATTCCTGACTTGGTACAGGCATTTTCTTATGTAGAACATGGTGGATTGAACCTGGTTTTATAGCTAGCTAAACCTCTCATTTGTATAACAGTCGCATAAAATTCCATGATGGAATTCCCAATATTGGTGCTAAGTTGGGAAAAATTTATAATTTCAAAATTGAAATCGTTTCGTTTGTCAGTAAAGGAAATAAGATGACCGCTTATGTCAAATTCGAGGTATAAGTCTAAAAATGAGACAGAGCAAGCCGTGTCGGTTGTTTCTTTAGTTTCTAGTTCTGAAGGATATATTAATGGATCCCAATCAGAAAGGTTTAGATTGTAAATGGAAAATAGTCATCGAAAAAAACTGAATGTGAAATTAAATAATCCGGTGCCTTTGATCTTCTTGTTTTTGACAAGTGTCTGATGGAACTCCGACTCATATGAAAATAAGAATAGGTCGGCAAGGAGAGGCGCACAGTTCATTTTCTATCGGAATGCCGACAATTTGTTGAAAAAGTCTACCTCCAAATTAAACAATATGTTGTCAATAAGAAACTCCAGCATACTGATCACTTGTTCCTCTGTGTACAATGTAACATCTTTTACCTGTTTGTTCACTATTAACAAAATATTCCGTATGGTATCCCAAAGTAATAAATTTATAGAGCATGCAACCGTTTTTATTAAAGAGCATTGAGGTTTATTTCTTTTAGACGATTGTTCAACTTCAAATGGGGAATTGTGGTATAAAGGGTTGAAAAATCAAAACTTTTGATAGAACTCATTTCATAATAAGATCGAGAAATTATCTATCAGTTCTTTAGAGTTTTTTTTTAATTCACATATGGTTTATACCACTACGCGAGTAAACAGTTCCATAGTATTTCCGAAGACCCTCTTTCACTGCGGAAAGAATTTTTGTCAATCTAATGTACAATTTCTTTAAAGAACATGCAGATGAGCCGGCAATGTACGGTTGTTTGTACGTTTTGTGAAGCTTAGGTATCTAATACAAACAAGGTAAGTCCTCAGATGTGCTGTTCAATGAAATGTTCATTGAGGCCACGAAGGACTTATGATTCGCCAAAACTTCATCCTTGTCAAATGATATGTCTTTTAATGTGGAATTACCTGAGTGCTCATTTATTCCTTATTGTTTTACAAGACACTCGTAGTAGTACGATTTACATACAAAAACAATATTATTTGAAGTTTTGTCCGCAGGAACACCAACATAATTATCCTGAAGAGATAATAGAGATTTCACAGCTTCTTTGTCTCTGAAAACAGACTTTGGTCGATCATTAAATCAATTCTTCAACTTATGACTTCGACGTTTTAGCAAAGACCTAATTGTTTTAACCCATTCTGACAAAGTGTCCAGCTCAACTTCTTCTCGTTTAGCCCATGCTCTGGCGTAGTCCTCACTGGAATCAATAATTATTTTGAATTTATGGTTCGAATTAATCAGTTGGGGTTATCTGAACCTAGGACCATGAGATATCACCTTTCTGAGATGTTCATGTTGAATTATGTTTAGATCCCCAGTAATAACATGGCCAGAGGGGCTGTAAATATAAGGCGAGTATGAACAGTAACATGTCATAGTTTTCTTTTTAAGATATTCTTGTAAATCAAAGTTCTACAATGCTTGCGTATTGTTAAATACCTTAGGTGCAATGGTTTTAGTGTAGCTGTAGGATACAATAGGAACAGACTGATTTTGAAAATAAAGTGGAATTTTAGATAATACCGGACACAAATGGAAACAAATGGAAATGGAAAGATTTAATATGCAGACTACACAACATTCATACACAATTGGATACGTCTTTGCATCTAATTATTTAGTACAATTATTTGTGAGGTCAATTTTATTTCATTTCATTTTCAAAAGTGCATACAAAATAAATTTACAAATGAACGTGGGACAATTTAGTAATTTATGACCTTAATTACTTTAGAGTATTCTCCTAGCTTCATTATAGAATAAACGAAACATTAGCCTTTTTTCTATTTCTACGTACTGTTCTTGCAGCTTTGAGTACTGTGCTTTTAATTCTTCCTTCTTTTTTGATTCATTCCTATAATAACTTTGCACAGTTTCCTTTCTGATATAATAAAAAAGAATTAATTTAATTATATACAATCCATTAAATTTTCTTATGCATTCGTTGCTCCTGTATAACGTTTCAAACTGTACAGATTCTTCAAAGTTACGAGAAAAAATGTATCTTCCCATCTAAACGAGAATTATTCTACTCATCCATTTTATTGAGGATTATAGTTTTTATTGGAAACAGTTAAACAAGCCTAGGTACATAAACCTTTTATTCCGTGTCTTTTTCAAGAAATCTAATATGTGTCCATGGAAAAAAATACATTCACTGCGGTATTCAACCAGTTACTATCAAATCAATGTTGTTGTTTTTTGTCTTAGACAAATATTTTTTGTATTAATCGTTGATGGATATGAACTAACTGTCAGTAACTGCGAGTACTCTCAGATTTGTACTTTATTTTGTTTTGTGTTCTGTGGGATGTATAAATACAGTGGCACGTCCGGATGTGTTTTTGTTAGAAATGTTTCTGCTTTGTATCGATCTGAAAAGTTTAACCCTTTTCAACTGATTTTTTTTTTTTTATATAGTTTGTTCTTATGATGTTGTGCTGATACACCACTGTCCCAAGTTAAGGGAGGGTTGAGCGCTCAAAAACATGTTAAACCTCGCCACATTCTATATGTGCCTGTCACAAGTCAGGAGCATGTATTTCAGTGGTTATCCTTTGTTCATGTTTGTTATATTTGTTTTTCGCAGGTTGTTTTGTTATAAATTAGGACGTTACTTTTCTCAATTGAATTGTTTCATATTATATTGCCGACTAAGTGGTTTTGGGTTTTCTCGCTGTTGACGGCTTACTGTTGCCAATTTTTGCTTACATCTACTTCATTTTAACTGTGGTGGATAGTTAGTTCATTGGCAATCATACCACATCTCCCTATTTTCATATAAACAACTGATTTTAAGTATTTGTTTATTCAAAGTACTTACTGTTCATTGAGGCATTCAATTACTGTTTTTAATGATGCATTTTCCGATAAAAGTTCATCATATGTTTGTTCGGCTCTTTTTGATTTGGCCTCCATTTCTTTTACTTCAAACTGTGTGAAAGTTCAAAGAAATAAAATATTTGACACTGCACAAATCATAAAAAGAGATAAAAAATGTTTCTTATTTCGATTATGCTATAGCATCTTATTTTGAATATTAAAATAAAGCCCGTTGACATATCAATGATAAAAAGTTCGTTATTTGCGCCTTATATGATTTGATTAATTAATCTTTTCAATACGTATATTTGTTTAAACATAAAATTTTCTTTCCAATTTCCCGCAGTTAAAACTATTGTTTTTTTCTAGTTGAATGTATTACATCTGATGAGTTAAAGTCAATAATTTGTACTAAAGAAATAATAATTAGACTTTTGCACAGTATAAAAAACCGGCACTACCCAGATACTAAAATATATCCTAAGTTTAGTGTCCATCGAGTTCATAATATGTTATGTACATTTATTAATACTGTGGGTTCATTATTATTCGTTGGATACCAATTTTCGTGGATTTTGTGGGAACAGGTGAACCACGAAAATAAATGATCAACGAATACCAAATTTTCTATAGGCTTGTATGCATATTTCGGCAAAACCACAAAATTAAATATCCACGAACATGTATGTTTTCCTTTATCCACGAAAATTGGTACCCACGAAAATAAATGAATCCACAGTATCTAATATTTTTTTTTTCGAAATGTGATATTTGAACATCAGATATTTCCGTGTTGTACAGATATGCAACGTGCTATATCAATCAGCATTACGTTTTATGTAAAACAGTTGACCATATGTCTATTCCGCAGTCAGCCTTCAAAGACGTGGTATTGTGTTCATTTATAAGCCTCGTTTCTGTAGGGAAGGAAAACCTTTTAAACATTATAACCAATATTTATTTGTCAATATCTCAATCATCCCTTTTATTGCTATTGTGTTGGCTTCACTTAACCTTCAACTTTGAATTTTAAGGAAATGTGAATGACAAAAATAGGAATAAGAAGGAAAAGAAACTAAAAATAATGTATATGACCTACATGTAAGTCTCAAGCAAATTATCATTCAGGACTTGATGAGATAATTGTTTTGCTCTCTAGATTCTATAATTAAATACACATGGTAATTGACATACATATCATATCTTTTATTCAAATGAATCTTTTTTGTTTCATTGATTTGGTTTATTGTTGTTTGCTGAACGTTCTGTGGCAAGTATTTCAGGCTTGTAGATATACTGGGAAATGATGATGTGTTACATAGGATAAGAAATTATAGTGGGCCTTACATTGAGTTACCAAGAGATTCAATGTCCACATTTCTATCGAATATAATTTTTTAGATTTTCATGATTTTTGCTTCCATGATGAAACAAGTATACAATTTATTGGAAATGTCATTTAATCGTTTTACGTACGTGCACCATTATGAAGAAAACTAATGAAGTCAATGGCAGTGGTGTGATTGAGGTTCGAAAATTTGTTTTTTTTTCGCGAAATCAAATATAAAATCCGTCACTTTTGTGATTATATATTAGGGAAAGCTAAAATAAATAAAAATGTTTAGACTAAATGGTACACAAAAACCTGTTATTAGATATTACTCGAATGTAAGCGGTTTTTTTTGCTTGAAAATGCAACACGACATAATTAAGTTAGTTAGTATCATACTAATTACACGCTTTTGACCATGTATTATTCGTTGACATTCGTTTTAAAAATGCATTCTATTTAGTTAACTTTATTCACTCTACAACCGTCCTTTAGGTGACGTCAGAAAGTGCCCGACTATATTGTGTCGTTACCATGGGCCATTGACGTTCTAAACGATAAACAAATTGTGTGTGTAGAAGCCATGAATGTCCTTTTGGCAGCAAGAGGGTTAAAGCACAACTTTGCAAGAATCGTCATTGCCTGAGAAGTACTGTCGTCTAGTTGTACAATCTTTCACTTACTTGCTTGTAATTTGTTGGTTAATCTATTTCAAAATCACATTAATTCTGTCAGTATAGTTTAGTGATTATGCTGAAGACAATCACATTCATTTTAGGAAAGACCTGAGTAGGCAGACACTATTTTGTACAGGATGGGTCAACGAGTCCGTTTGTAGTTTGTCAGATATAGATATGTTTAAACTTTAGTATATTAACTATCGTTTATCATGTTGGTTTCGTACATGCAATGGCGGTACCTTTCCGGTTACTATTTACGTGCTGCGTCTACATAGGAATTGTTCCACTTCATAATAACTGAACAGGTTGATCAAATCCTTCTCAAGAAACAGAAGAAACACCTCAAAATGATTACATTACATTTATGCTTCATTATAATACGTTATTTTGATTGGTTAATAGTAATCTCGCGTCATTCTGAAATAAACCTTCATTTCAAAATAAAATGTAACATTCATGATGACACAAGCTTCCACATTAATGTCAAAGGTAAAAAAAAAGAAAAACTTGATAGAAATCGTGTTTTCATGATCCTAGCAAAAAAATGTAATTATAAGTATTGAATTCTTCTTTTGAAATTTTATAGGGTTGTAAAAGCATTGACCTTGAGCACATTGTTCGACTGAAGCGCTTCCGCGCTTCATACAAAATATACTTCGGTCAACGCTTTTACACCCAAATAAATTTATCAAAATGAGCATTCAATTCTTAAATAGTACCAGATTATTTGATATTCCAGCTTATAGATAAAAAATTAAGTGAACTATCCAAAAATACTGCGGATGAACCAAATTGTGAATTGACCCAATACAAGTTTATATAAAGACCATTCCAGTATTAATGACATTGTCAGCAAGTACACGTAGAATAAAAATGTACAAATTACCAATAAATGTTTATTATACATGTTATAGTTAGCTTCAAGGATAATAATTTCTCTTGATCAAAAACTATATAAATATCTTTATACAATCTAGTGATAGTTTTTTGGCATTATCAGATTTTTGCAAGACCTAAGAAAAAAAGAAGAATATTCTATCATCCCTCTTCAATCCGTCGTAGTCTTGATTCTGTAAATTTATTTGATTACTTTTAATTTGTCATCTTCTAATTTCTTTTTCTACTTTCTCAATATTTTTATTCAGGTTAGCATTTGTTTCATATTCCCTGTTATTATTTGAATAAATTTTAATATTCAAGAGTTTCTCCAATACATTGCTTGATTTTTTTTTGTGTATAGTGCTTTAGATTTACAGATCCTTCATTCTAAAGTTGTCCCATGAAATAACTTAAGTTTTTAATCAATTGCTTTATTTATAATTATTAATGAAATTTGATTTTTAATTTTAGATAATTTTCAAAAAAAACTATTATTCAATTTCCAGTATCCCTGTTCATTTTTGTATCATGACCTTTGTAGTTGTTACATTAATCGATTTCTAAATTTATCACAAGCAGGGTCTGATTTTTGTCTGTATAATTATCAATAATTTTATAGCTTAACATACATTTTAGCCGTATGATTATCCCTCTAGCGTTGCTCTGGCCATTACTAAAACAAATTCCCTTCGGAATTCTTTTCTACATTTTTTGTGTCTCTTGTTTATCACGAATATCATATTTGTGTTGTTAAGTCCATTCAATCAGTCGTTATCTTTTTATGTAGTCCTTCAGAATTGACGGATTAAAGGTAAGATTTAAATTATCATTGTGACCAAGAAACCCAAATTGATGAATAGTATCTTTTATCGATTTTATGAGTTCTGTAATCAACAAGTGGATATTAACAGGTCGATGTATTATGTTCTAAATCATGTAGTTTTTTTATTTTCTGTAAAATGTATAATGGTTTACATTATGGAGTATCTTTTATCATGAACGTACAAAACTTAAAACCTTTACTAACTTCTTCCATTGATACAAATATTTGGTTTGCAAGTTTATCTGTACCGGTAAACAACTTATTTCGAACGGAATAACATATCCTAAATTATACGATGATATAATTAACCCAGCCTGGAAATTTATGTACGATTCGGGTAAATTATCAATCCTTTAAATAAACTTATTCTAAAAGGTTTATCTATACAACACGGTAATTAAATCTTTAAATACTGTTTTTATTAGTATAAATAATGAACAAATCTCAATATTCAGTAGCACTGATTAATTCAAAACCATGAAATAATAAATTCCACGTTAAAATCATAGGTATAGTTTGAACAATTCTTAAATGTTGTCATATAGCATCTGACAGTCAATTACCATATTAAAAATGTTTCGAATGTATAGCTATATAATATCGCTGACAAAAATAAAACCTATTGCGAATAACATAAAGATATGAGCTTAACCACCTGTTAAAAAAATCGTTAATTTTTGCAACGAAAATATTCAATTAAAATCTTGAAAAATGTGTTTTTAAAAACTGAAACAAGTACAATTAAAAAATGCAGGTCAAATACCGAAATAAACAATGTACTTACGAATTCGCATATTTTCTTCAATGCCGTGTCTAAACACGATCCCCGTGATAACTGAAGATCATTTTAAATGCCGCACAAAACAACTAAAAATAGAAATTTAAAAAATAAATAGTACCGTTTTGCAAAATTACAATACAAGTACTGTTTTGATAGTTACAATGTCTAAAACATGTTAGCTTAGATATATAATACGACGATTGCTTATGTTTTCCAGGTGTAATACCACCATTGATTTTCCCCTATTAGTTTTTGTTAAATTTGCACTTTTCAAAAACTTATGCAGAATTTATCTTTGTTTCAAATAAAGAAATACTTGGCATGAGTAAAGTTTTATCCTGTCCAGTACTATAGAAAACATTTCACATAACATTTCATTACATATAAGAAAATAACCATCACTGGAAGTTAACCAATCAAATGTTCCCCTTTTTTTAACCTGCGTACAAGCTTTAGTAACCATGTAACCTCAAGTTTCCAAAATATTCTATAGAAACCCCAAATAAAAAAATAATGGTGCTTTGAAATACCCAAGATATACATCAACTTTATTTGAACTTTGGTGGATAGTTGTCTCATTGGCAACCATACCACATCTCCTTATTTTTACATCTGTTGTCATA